CATTCAGACAGGCTTTACCTTTTTATTACCTGCTAAATTTCTTATTTTTGCTTGAAGTTACGCCCATTGTTCTATCTCCTTAAGCACTAGATTGTTAATACCCGTCTCTGCCCTGTGGTGTTCAGTGTCTTCACTTTCTAATTTGGATCTGCCAGCAGGTGCTGGCTGATTTTTTAAAGATCCAAACTTTTCTATATCTACCTTAGATCTCCCAGCAAGCGCTGGCATAATTTAAAGATCAAGATGTATAGAGACAATGTATAGAGACGTTTGTTCACACATTGTTTGCATTCGACCAGGTTTCTAGCTTGGATCTCCTAGCAGGCGCTGGCTGATTTTTTTAAAGATCCAAACTTTTCTCTTAGATCTCCCAGCAATCGCTGGCATATTTTTAAAGATCAAGATGTATGGAGACCTTCATTAACACATCATTTGCATCTGGGTGGGGCTCTTGAGCTCTACTTTTCTTTTTAAAGACAACTATTACTGCTGCAACAGCTTTTTAATGTATCCCTGTGGACTCCTCAGTCACTTTGGGAAGTCCCCCCCCTTTTTTTTTAAAGTGACAAGGGGACAAATTTTAGAAGAGGGCCTGGGAGTTAGCCCACACACTTTATGAATGTCTGGGCAACAAAGGAGATTGGAGAAGAAACTCAGGTAGAGCTCCTCTTCAGTTAGTCTGATGGTGGCCAGAAAATCAGCAAATTTGTTGACAAAATCCAAATCAAAACTGCCTTCTGGAGGCCAGGTTTCTACCTTAGGACCAATAGAGTAGGTTGGCCAGATAGATGTGATGAGGGTTTTTACTCAGGTCGAAGGCAAAGCTCTAGTAGGAATTTCCTTCATCTCATACACGCACACACAAGGCAACAGTCCCCTCCTCCCCCCAGAAGAAAAACAATTCTCTACTCACCTCACAGAGTACAATCTTCCCCACTACCTAATTCAAGTCTCTTTGGCATTCAGGACCTGCCAGTTTACTCTTTTCTTTCTTTGAACAATTGAAAATTCTTGTCTTTTTGGATTGGAGACATTTTATAGTTACAATTACATTGAGGGTGCACAAAGATTTAGACACACATATACACAAGGACAAGGAGAAAATAAGAGGGGGGGGGGGACTCTCAG